ACAAGCAAATTTGAATTTTGGTTTTATAATGTATACGTGATATACGTGGAATCCTTCTAAAAAAATATTTGAAAGGTATACATTTTTATTAGAATATTTGGAAGAAATATTCGAGGGTTTGAGAAATTCATTGTGTAATCTAAATGTACAAAAAAAAAGTGTGTTTGTCCTAGAGTTAAGATACTGTTTTTACGTCAATTATCCAGTCGCAATTAATGTAATCTCGTTTAGGCTGTGACAAAGTCGGACGATCTATCTGAGTTTCTTAGATTAGTAGCGGTGTCGTGTGCGTTACTATTTCATCTATGCTTCGAATGTATTAACGCTCAGAGATTGATGGATTACAGCGGATATCTTCACACTAATTTGTACGTATGTTACGTATCTCGCGCAAGCATTATGCAAGATAATTGATTTATATCGATATAGAAGCATGTGAACTTAACAATTAATTAGATAAAAATTAATAGATTCAATGAATTATAGAAATCTAAATTTAGAAGCGCGACTTAACACAAAACGCGAGCAAGCGCTTGTTGTTGTATAATTGCAGAATCAATTTAAACTGGTACGATGCGTCGCCCAGAACGAAGAAACTCGTTCTTTTCATGATGATGAAAACGCAGCCGCCCTGCGTATTAACGGCCGGCGGTATGTTCGTTATGTGCATGCAAACATTCGCCACGGTAAGATAATTTGCTTCGAACTTGTAGGGGCAGGGGAGAGAGTATTTTGATATAATAAACATATGGGTATCTCACGTAAGCGTATATGTTATGTAATATACGCCTTAATTGAAACACATTTCTTGATTGGTTGTCAATTGCAGTTGCATTAATTTTACATTTAAATACTGTACTTACAACGTTGACCGTTCTTCTTTAAGATGGTGAGGACCGCTTTGTCGTATTTCACTTTTTTACGCTCGGCGCGATAGGCTCAGCTTTCCGAATTTTGATGTGACACTCGAGAAGCAGCAACCATTCACCAGCTAGATCTGACATCGATTAGCATCGGATAGCTAGAAATTTCGATCTGAAATTGAGAACGACAAATTACTAAAGTTGTAACATCGAAGTTACTAAAAGGATGCGAACTGTATAATTGATGTCGGTATCATATAAATAAATTTCTATAATGTGCCGTTACTTTTAATAAATATTTTTCCGATGTATTAATTAGTACATCGAAACGATTAGGCTTATATACAAGTTTACACATCATCTTTTCGAAAGCAAAGTATTTGGCTTTGTATATATAGATGGTATATCTCCATTTCTTCTCTATTCTTCTTCCTTTCGAACCGTCTATACCTAACTTCCGCGTGGTCGAGTTAAAAATGACTCTTTTAACGTAATATCGCAACATTATCGCAATATCCTGCACGTATCTATAGCAAGTATCGTCGTGTAAAGCGTTATTCTCTCGGAAAGTATGAAAAGAAAGTGGAGTAGGCCCTGGATATTACGACGGAAGTGAAATTTGCGCCGACCTTTTTCCTTTTGTGCGAGAAAACGACACGGGAGCGAAGTTCGAGCGTATCTTATGCACTTTTAACTTTCCGCAATGCTCGACCGCTTGCTTGACTCAACCCCTCGCATTGCACGGTCTTATAGAAAAAGACGTCGCGCCGAGAATTTATCTCTTTTCTTTAAGCCGCCCCGTGCACGCTTATCTCGCATATATCGTGTACGTCCTGTGCGTGCTACGACGTATCGATTTGCGATTCCTTCCGCGGTGCAATTTTTCTCAATTACCGCGCCGTCCAAACGGAATGCTTGACGAGGCCAGTGAATTCCTCCCCACGCGCTTTCCGGCTTCTGGTAAGGTTTGGCAAGCGCAGTGCTATACCCGCCGCGGGACCGTCAAGATGGATAGTGTTCAAGGTCAATACATGCGTATCAATCAGATGCTAATGTGCCTAATCGGTCAATGGCCGTATCAGGAATGGTGGGAAAAGTTTCTGATCCAATTCGTCTTCGTGCCCGCAGTTTTCTCTCAGGCTATTCTTCAGGTAAACTCCCCTTTGAATTCCCTTGAAATAACGCAAAAAATAAGTTTTTAAATAAAGTTACTATAAATAATTGATCGCACAACAAAGGACAATATAGCAATTAACTATGCACGTGTATAACACAGTGATCGAGATGTATGATAAACAGTTGGTTACTAAATTAGAAACTGTTCTTTTCTTTTTTAAATAAATTATGAATATTATGATAAATAATATTTTATTAAAATAACAACGCTACTATTGTACAATATTACTCAATTGTATGTAAATTAGAATTATCAACAACTTGAAGACTCAGAATGACAAGAGAGCACAATATAAAAATTATCTATACACTTTTTAATGAGTTTTTGAAATCGCAAGAAAATATGTGTATTATATTTTTGCAAGTTCATATTCTTGCCTTTTGAAATATTGATTTATTTTTATGATATAAATTAGACGTAGCTATGCAGCTATGCTTCGAAAAATTTTGCAGGGCGGCGGCATGATCACTGCTTATTTCGCTGATGACATCGACGCGTTTATGGAGAGTTCGTCGCCTTTTGTAATTAGTTTAATGTGCGTCTGTAAACATATTAATTATACGTACAATCATGAGCAGGTATGTTTTTTTTTCTCTAAAATGCGAGAGTAAATCTCTTTATCGATATTAATTGTTATATTGATATTTATTGTTATTATATCAAATGTAGATGAAAAAACTTGCCTTTTCAATGGTGGACGATTGGAATATCTATTCAAAACTTAGCCACGAGTACGATATTCTTTGTAGAAATTATGAGATGGGTAGAAAAGTCACGATTGCTTACGCAGGTAAACATTATTAAATACCGAAAATTTAATGACCTTAAAATAATTCCGCGAAGGCATTTAAATTGATTTTACAAAAGAATCTATTATGTTTACAAAATAATACAAATTCGTATAAATTTTAAACACATAATTTATATATGTGGTACTTAAATATATATAAAAATATATAAATTAAATTAAAATTTATGTAAAATACATGTGCTGTAGAACAAAATTAAAATGTCTCGCGTGTAATTCTAAGCTGAATAGTTAATTCAAGTCACAGGGGTACGGCTCTTGATTGATATATAATTTACAGTCTCTCTATACGGCTCAATGACTCCCTTTCTGGTTGTACCGGTGGTGCTAAACACAGCCAGCTACATGGGGCTGTACAACATTTCCGAGGGTAGACCCCTGATGTTCCGCACGGAATACTTTGTAGATTCCGAGAAGTATTACTACCCGTTGTTGGTGCACTCGTACATTGGCACCCTCGGATTCGTTTCGATCGTCGTGGCGATCGACTCGATGTTGGTGTTTCACGTTCAGCATGAATGTGGGATGTGCGAGATCCTAGGGTAACTCCGCAATAATGGCACTTTGTAAGACTGAACAGCATTTTTCATTCGAAACGCATCTTCGTGTATTTGTTTCATACTCGCGTCCACATGTCGCTTGCGAGACGTCCGATCGGTGTTTATCTCATCTCATACTGAACATCCCATACTGTTTCACACGTTTCTTACACATTTGACCAAATCTTTGATACATAGAAATATACATACAAATATATACATTTTTGTCGTGTAACTCGATTATTGTTGAGCGAGAGAGAAAGGACGACTGCGGAATAAATATTTGTCATTGGTGATCGAGTGGTCTTATTAATCCGTGCGTTACCCGAATTCATTTCATCCATACATCACGTCGTGATGTATAAACGATATTGACATGGTCAGACAAGAGATATTAAATCGACGATATTGAATCTAAGTGTTAATGTTCATCTACATCATTCGATCGAATTTCAACATCCCTGGACTCGACTTATGTTTAAGATACGTTTATCAATGAGTATTTTTTAGATATCGGCTAGCACGGATCATTGATGCAGATACTTTAGACATAAATTTGTACGAACCGAGTAAACAAGAGGCTATGTCGTACAGATATATTAAGGATTGCGTGATCATGCACAATCACATAATAGAGTTAGTATGTCCGAATAATTACATATATTGTATCTTTTTGTTGCCAGTAATTCGGTGTGCGTTACCGTATTTTTTAATGAAAATAGCATTTAATATTTTTTTGCTTCTTTTATCTGTAAAGTATAAATTCCATTCATTTTTTATCTACTCGCGTTATCTACTTTATTTAATAATTTAATTTTCTTTTAAAATCGACTAGTGAATATGTTCTTTGGAATTTATACTTTGGCTATTTTATCTTTTTATTATTAACTTTGTTAATTTTTCTCGGACATGAAGGTATGCTAGACGTATCGAGAAAGCAAATACGACGTCATACTTTTTTCAATTAGGTTTCAATATGATGGGCATGACATTTACAATATTCCAGGTTAGTGCTTATAATTTAACACGCGCACAATCATAATTATCATTACTGATAGACATTACGTCCATTAAAAGCTTTGTCTTCTGGCTATAATGCCTGGCTATCATGCTTAAAATTAAACATCTCTTTAGACATATTTATAATTATATACACGCGAGTATAATAAAAACGAACTTATATTTACGAGTTAGGCGGTGGTAAAATTGAGCGATCCCAACGAGGCCTTGCGATATGCATCGTTCACGTGTTGTCTGCTTTCCGTTCTTTTCCTCGAAAGCTGGCCGGGTCAGCAACTGTCGGATTATACTGACAAAATTTTTGCGTACACGTAAGTACCTCGCAATGGAAGCATTTTGACGACGGCTCGGTAATTTCTAAAAATAATTAACGTCCGATAACACGTTATTCAGATACTGACTGCACATTCAGCCTATGAGATCGCTTTATGGACACACATAAATGCCAGAAATAATTGTAAATGGATAGTTTTTAACAAAAAAAAAAGAGAAATAGTGTGACACGTTTTTCAGAACCAGTGGACTATGGTATCAGTCTTCGCTAAGAGTGAGGAAAATGATCAGTATTATGCTGTTTAGGAGTTACGTGCCAATCAAGATAACCGCGGGCAAACTGTACACCCTGAACTTGGCAAACTTCGCTTCAGTAAGATAGCTTCTTCGAATAGGATCTAAAGTGTCGTGTACAGTAGGCAGTAGCAGTAATGGATGAGTCTGTGACACGGCAGATTAAGCTGGTTTTCCGGTCTAATAGGGCATAGAGTAAATCTGTAAGCGAAATAAATACAAACGGATAACGTTCGTTGACGCTAATTGGTTCATATTTACTACATTGTAGACACTCGGGCGTAAGAAGATTTTAATCCTACAACCTCTAATGTCTAACTTCTTAATCAATTACTGCTACTGCCCATTGTACTATATAGACGACGTATAACATCGTATTGAAGCATTGTCCAGAATTGACGCATTGTCTTTTTAAGGTCGTACGCACGTCGTTCTCTTACTTCACTGTTCTATGTTCTATGCATTGAACAAGGCTCGCTGCAGCTCGAAAACTATTATCGATGACAACAGCTACGAATTGATTTGACTTTATCTTCCGTTTCACGACTCGTGAGTTACAATAAGTGACGACGATATATAGATGATTACGACAATTCGGTAAAGTCGATATACTGAAATATTCTTGGCGCGATTAGAGTATTCGCGAGGAAAATTTTCACGACATTTCTACGATCTTCATCAAATCCTGTCGACATCACGCTGAGGAAAGAGATCGAAGCACAAAGTTCGCCGGCATTGATTCACATCCCATTGAGTTTGTCAACGCAGTCAAAAGACAATGGCTTGAAAACGTAATTTTACGGTGCTAATATTTAATGCACACGGTATTAAACGATATCATTGCGTCTAACGTAATAAAGGTATATCCGA